TGAGTATATTTTATGGAACGAATCATGGCGGAAGTTACCGACTTTGCATTATCTCTTACTTTAAGGGACACAATCTTCCCGTGGTCCATCGTCCCGATAGAAGAGATTTACTGACCTACTTAGGATCGGAAACTGCAACTTCCGCGAGCATTGATAAAAGCTTGCCTTTGGAACGGCCGACTCAGGTATCTGAGAACTTCGTTCTGACTCTTAACATCGAAAATCTATATGCGGATTTTCGTTAGCTGAAGCGTGTGGCGGAGCACGAAAATGAAATCCATCCGATGAAGAAACCCCGTTTGGAAGACGGGGATATGGAACGGATGCGACAAAAAATGGCTGCTCGTTTGGATGGACCAAAGGAGCAGTCTGTAACGTTGGATAACATAACGTACGTTTTTTGGAAATTTGCTTGATGGAAATTGGTATCCGTAAGCTTAAACTCTGAACCCGTAGTGGTTCACTTTCACAAGCGATGTCCCGAGAGAAAATCGCCGCCCTTCGTGCCAAGCGTATTGCCATGAAAAAGCAGACAATCACTGGTGGANGCCGCCCTTCGTGCCAAGCGTATTGCCATGAAAAAGCAGACAATCACTGGTGGAGCAGAAGATCTGGACTCATTTTCTGGAGCTGGAGAATCTGACCAATTCATGCGTTCAGTGTATGAGTTGGATGTAAATACATCGAAGGCTATCCTTGCCCGGGAAAGACAGTGGAGAACGAGGACTACGGTTCTCCAAGCGTCGGGAAAAAATTTTGCCAGGTCAATTCTTGCCCTCTTGCACGGAATCAAACTCAAAGAGGAAGGAAAAGTACATCCAGTCGAACACGTTGCGCCGACTCCGCGACCAGCATATCGGCCAGCTCCAACTCCTGCTAATACTGCCTATGATCAGTCATACGATCGTTATGCCCAGGAAAAGTTCAACAAGAAAGGTGAGTACGATTCTCATCTGAGAACAAAGTTCTTGCTAAAATCCCTCGCTATTCCAGAAGGGATTTTTTTCTTGTACGAAGTTCCATGATGGTGTGATCCGGTATTTAAGTTGGATGAATTATTTCTAGATGAGCGGTAGATGTATCGAAAAAATTTAGTTTGGAGGGAAACACTCGCTCTGTCTGCTACATTTCTCTGCAAAAGAATATGCAAAACTACTACACGCATATGAGGGCGAAAATGTTTCAATATTTTGTGCTTCAAAGAAAATATTGTGCGTTTCTAAATTTAACGGTTTCCGAACGAACATTTTCTCAATCACTGGATTTTATATGTATCTAATCACCGTAACTTTTTGAACTTTCTTCCGTTGAGGAAGAATTGATAGCATAATAAGAAGTAAATTCTGTTGAAAAATGAGAAGTTTGTTGTGTGATTTTTGGAGTAAATCGTGTAAATTTTTTACTTAGCAATGCTTTTTGAAGTGATACGACCGTGTTTTCGTTGCTTATTGCCTTCATTTTCAGATTTGTATCGCATGTCGTTAAGTTTGAAATTATTCCGATTGAAAGCAGATCCTGTTTTTGTTCCGTAGTTCACGGCAACGCTCATGACAGTTTTACACTCGCTGACGAACGTGATGATTTTAATTTCAAATACCTAAAAGTTTACGTGAAATCCTAAGATGAACGGCCTCTCGTATCTGCGTAAATATTATATTTTTCGTCGAGTGCAATTTCATACGATGTTCTAAAATAATGCAGAAGCTGAGGTTCGTTTTTCTCGCTCACCATTTACGAAGAACGATAGAGCGAGGGATAGAATTCGGTACACAAATTGTTCCACGTGGATTCCTTATCGTGATATGCAAGCTTGCTCATTAAAGAAGTATTTTTATTTCAGCGACTGCTGGATTCAAGATCAACACGATGGCATCGTTTGCTGGGAAAACCTTGAAATCAGTAGCAGAGGGAAATGTGCAGAAGCAGCCGAATCCTGTTGCGACGTCGAA